TTGTTTTTCTCATCTGTATTAAAAATCTACATTGGTTGGTGAGTGCTGCACATCTTCATTGGTTCCTTTTGACATTTCCTTCTTTCCCTCATTGTAAGATAATATTCCTCAATGTGTCTTCCTAATTTCATTCGTGAGGACTGTCCATTCCTCTAGGACTGACTACTTCTTTTCATTTGTAGTCTATGTGATCTTGCATATCCTTTCTCTGAGTTCTTTGAAATAGTTTTTCTTTTGTTTGTTTCCTAAAATCTACAGTACATGTTAGATTCTCTTCTCTATCATATCTTCTAAGATAGAGTGGTCATTACTTAGCAATGTTCCTACAATTACCATTCCATACCCAAGATCCTCATTATTAATCCTTTCTTGATTAAAGATACAGAATAAAATTTCCCATTTTTGTTTCCTCTATTAAATATTTTTGGATAGCTATATAAAGTTTCTATTTCTGTTTTCATTGATCTTTACCTGATTTCCTCCTGTGAGTGTATCCTCTTAATATGCAATGCTCCCCTGTCTCCCCTTTTAACCATCTGTCTTTTTTTTTTCGTAGGGTTCAGCCTTTCAAAACCACAATGACAAAAGTTGAGACTATAGTTTTCAAAATGCTCTCCATATGTTACCTTTGTTGGCTGCCCAGCATGCTTAGAATGGACTTCCGTGCTTGTCTCTGCCGCCTGCATTTCCTGCTTTCCCTTAAGATTCACCTCAAGAGCCACCTCCTTCAGGAAGCCTTTCTTAGTCTCTGTCCCCAAAGGCTATCCCACATGTTCCCCATGGTTATCAGTTTGATGTTTTAGTTATACTTAGAAATGTGCATGCTTGATCCCACCTTATGCACTTGTTAAGTGCTTAATAAGTACTGAATGGTTGTTTGGGCAACCTAGGTGGATAGAGTGCTTGTCCTGAAGTCAGGAACACTCATCTTCTGAGTTTAAATCCAGCCTCAGGCACTTACTAGCTATGTGACCCTGGGCATGTCACCTAACCCTGTTTGCCTCAGTTTCCTTATCTGTAAATGAGCAGGAGAAGGAAATAGTAAACCCCCCCTAGTATCTTTGCCAAGAACACCCCAAATGGGGTTGAGAAGAGTTAGACATGGTTGAAACAATTTAACAAGGATTGTTTAAGACTCACAACAACCTAGGTAGATAAAAGGAACATTATCCCTATTCACAGAAGAAGAAATGGATTCTAAGAGAGACAGGAAGTGATTTACTCAGAGTCACATAGTGAGTCAAAGGAAGAGGATCAATGTGACTCTGTCTTCCTAACTTCAGGTTATGCTCTGCATCTACTATACCACCAGGCTTGCTTAGCCTTACATTTCACATTTCTAGCAACATTTTCTTTTTTACTGTACTATTGTTCAAACAAACCCTACCCATATAGATCTAAATCAACATTTCTGCAGCAAGCAAAACAAAACAGAACAATGGCATCTCACTATTTGATTTTGTTGGTTTGCATTCCTTTGTGTTGAAAAATATGTAAAACACCCCTCTAGGTATTCCTGAGTTAGAACATTTATTTCATTAAAAATTCATAGGAATAATTAAATGCCATCTTATATATTAGTTGAACAAATAAGGGTGACAAATATGGCATATGTTCTGTGGGTCAGTAGGCAAGTCCACTAACCCAAGAGATTTGGTCCAAAAATAGTAGAAGACAATAGAATCATTCATTATTTCACAAAATTAGCAAATCCACAAACTTTTCAGCATTCACTCCCAATCAACAAAATACCAGGAAAGCCTACCAGCGCCATTACCTCCCTGAAGAATTAAATATAGCATTAGTTTTTGGATAGAACTCATAAATATTAGTACTCTCTTTAAACATATATACATATATATATACACACACACATACACACACACACACACACACACACACACACACACACACACACACATATATATAAATTTTTTGACCCAAAATTATTTAAGAGACCAATTGTTACTGATGGAGCATGGGCCCCAAAGTGGGACCTTTGTCCCACTTTGGGCCCCATTTGTCTATGAGCCCTAGCAAACCTTTGGACTGTCCTTCTCCCACTTGAGCAAAGAGATCTCTGGTGTTCCCCTGAGGCCATGATTCTGTCCTTTCAGCTACACCCAATCCCTCAATTTTGTTATCCTTGACCTAACCTGGCCCTCCATTGTCTTGCCTCCTTATGTCCTCAGGCCACTTCCCACCCTTGTTCCTATCTAGGCTCCATTTCCCTGGAATTCTATTACCTCATTGATTACTTGGCCACTCCTAGTTTCCTCCCACAGTCTTTCTGTATATAAGGTCCATCTTGTCTCCATTAAGAGGCTCAGGTTTTCACAATCTAGCCAATGGCCCACAGATGCTCAGATTCCTTAAGAGTCTGGCTAATATGGTGAATCTCCAATAAACCATATGTTTGGCTGAAAGAAGGCTTCGGTCAAATTCTTTCAGGCAGGACCTGCATGTCACAATTTCAGGATTCCAAGACCCCTAACCTCCAGACCTCATCATATGCTTCCCTGACTAGGAAATGTTTTCTGTAGTGCTTCAGAGCATAGTTCAGTTATCCTTTCCTATATAGAAAGTCTTTCCTGAGCTTTTTCTGTCTCTTAAAATAACTACTTTGCATATACATGCTATGTGGATTTATTTGCACTATTGTGCTGCCTCCTTTAGGACTAAAACAAAAAGATGTGAGCCCCTTGAGGGTAGGAGCTATTTCCTGTTTGTCTTTGTAGTTCTGGAGCTTAGCACCATACCATGGATATAATCAGCCCCTAAAAAAGATCTCCAAATGCTTTTGTATCATCTCAATATTCATCACTTCATTTTGATTTGGAGAAGAAGCATAATGTAGAGGGGAGAACTCTACACATGGAGTCAAGAAAGAGTTTGAATCCTTCCATAGACAATTACTAGGGGTATAACCATGGAGAAGTCACTTGACCACTCTGTGCCTTAGTTTCCTTCTCTGTAAAATGAGGGGGCTGGACTTGATGACATCTAATGTTCCTTCCAGCTCTGCATCTAGGATCCCATTGATAAGGATGGGATCTGGACCCCAAAAAGGATAACCCTAAACTTTCCCACATGGCCAAATCTCTGGTGTTAGCCTTAGGCTATAATCCCATCAATTGGCCTTTTGTTATTGCCTATATCCAACCTCCCAATTCTGTTACCCTTAACCTAGCCTAGGCCTCCATTGTCTTAACTTCCATATGGCCCCAGGCCACTTCCCACCCTCAATCCTGTCTAGGCTCCTTGGCAACTCCTAGATTCCTCCCATAATCTTTCTGTGTATAAGGTCCATCTTGTCTCCATTAAGATGCTCAGATTCTTATAATCTAGCCACTGCTCAGATTTTTACAATCTAGCCAATAGCTCACAGGTGCTCAGATTCCTTAAGAGTCTGGCCAATATGGAAGATCTTTAATAAATCTTGTTTTTGGCTGAAGGAAGGCTTGGGTCAAATTCTTTCAGGAAGGACCCATGTGTTGTGATCTCAGGATCTCAGAACCCCTACACTTCTAGACCCCATTATCATGACATGTTATCTCCTGTTACCACAAAGCATAAGCTTCTCAAACAGCTGAGGGATGGATATGCTTTATATAAGCATGATGGCATTATAGAAAGGATTGATCTTGTAGTCTAAAGACCTGGGCTTGAGGATTGCTTCCAGTGCTACTCACCTGTGTGACACTGACCTATGTCAGCTACTCATTTCATATTTCTAAACCTGGGTGTCCCTTTCTATAATGTGTGGATAATAACACCTGCCATATGTAATTTGCAAAAAGGCAAATTTATGCTGGTTGTCAGCTACATCTTCCTAACAATTACAGCTCTATTGAAGTAGACAGAACAGTCCTGTGTGGTTTAACCGGATGGTCATTTATTGGTATGTTTTTGTGGGAATTCTTATTCAGGTCTGAGTTAGATGGCTGCTGAGGGCACTTGTAATACAACTAGGAATGTCGCTATCAACTTTAAAGCACTAAATACAAGGGAACTATTACTGCTGCATCAACAAAAGTCAGCCTGCCCTCATCACCTCCATCTTTCAGAAAGAACTTGCTATTTGTTTTATCTTTCTATCTGAAAGATTTTGTAGTAGGTGTCCTGTCTTGAAGTGTTTGTGATTCAAGGGGAACACTTTGTACTCTATTGAGTTTGCATTTAAAGACTTTAGGCAATAAATAGTCATCCCCTTACTTTTCACTTTGTCCAGTGCACTACATTTTGGAGACCTTTTTGTATTTCTGTGTTCACATCTGCCTTCCCCTGCTGCTCTGTAATGTTTATTTCCCAACAGTATCTCATTCTGCAAATTCAACAGATCACCACCAGCTTCTAGTCCTCTCTTCTTTGCCAACAGAGAATCACAGAGCTGGAGAGAAGTGTGAAGGCTATCAGATTCAATTGGTCTCTTAAAAAGAAACCTCTTGTTAACATAGCAGATGAGATGTACGTCAATTCTTTGCTCAAATAGCTCCAATGGGGGAAAATACCCTTTTCACAAGGAATCTTTTCCTACTTAGGCACAACATTAGCTCCTTGGGATATTATTTTTTTTTCCTGCTCATATCATGCCTAAATTTGCCTTCTCTGCAATATCTATCTATTGCCCTTTGGGCCCCATCTACCCATCTAACCCAGTTACGCTCTCTGAAACCACAAAGAAAAAGCCAGGTATCACTTTTCCATGTCAGGTCATAGAGAATCTCCAAGCCGCTATAAGTCCTTAACCCTCTCCCCACAAGATAATTGACTCTTTGATTTAAAATTAGCTTTCATAAGTTCCTTCTCTAAGTTAAGCGATGATTTCCCCAGTGATAGTCCACTTGATTGATTCAAATCCACAGAGCCCTGCTACAATATTGTGAGAGGCTATGAGAAAGTACAAGTGATGGGAGCAGAGGTGCTAGCCATGTATTTCCATAATCTATGTATTTAGTTCAAAACATTGCTTTAAGAAACAGGAGGATTAAAAAAAATACCTTTTTCATAAGCCCACATCAAACAAGTTTGCTCATCTTTTTCACCACTTGACCTGCTGGGATCACAGGCTACCAGATTCATATCAGCTCCGTTATCCAGTAAGAACTGGACCAGGCGAATGTGTCCATGGAAGCAAGCAGAGTGTAATCCTATGGGGGTAGGGGGAAGGAAGAGAAAAGCAAGAAAACCAAACATCAACCCCTGACTGCCACAAAGACAATTGTTGCCCTGTAATAGGATTGCAGCAAGAGCTATAAAGTGAGAATTGATTTCTTTAATAAAGAGTCCATCCTATTATGGGGCCAAAGCTACAATGTCATAAGCAGACAGTGTTTTCTCTGACAGCCAATCCACTTCTTGGCTCTACTGTAATTCCTAGATATAGACTGTAATTACCACCAACTCAACTTAGCAGCTTTAGGAGAATCAAGGAAGGAAAACCTCCAGAATGTCTCATTTCTCTGGGTTTGACAAGTGACAGCAAAGGGAGATGACTTGTAATTATATTGCACTCTTACCAGTGTGCCCATCTCTTCCTTGATGATTGATGCTTAGGATGTTTTGGTCAAGAAGAAATTTAACGAGTTCAATACTCTTGCCATAGGTACAAGCACTGTGAAAACACAAAACACTGGGAATGAATGTTGTGGTTTGTTCAAATGGAAGACCCTGATTGTTCTCAGATGTGGATGGGGTATCTGGAATATAGCAGGGCCACCAACAATCTCCCTTTCTGCAACCTCACTCTATGGCTCTATTTAAAATACCCTGAGATCACATTACAGGTATCAGTGTTCATATCACAGAGCTGAATTTCATTGAGGTTGAAGTTCCTTAAAAATAAACCCTTAATTTTTCCTCATACAGATCGTTTTCTAGCCCTGGCTCCCCATCTTGGGCATATGAAGTTTTGGTTTTTTTTTAATGTGTAGGAATTTACCTTAATCCATATTAAATTTCATCCTGTTAGATTTGGCCCAATTTCTATCCTATTGGTTCCTTTTTGAGTCCAGATTTTATTATCTCGTATGTCCAATTTGGTATGTATATCATTAATGGATTCATCCAAGCTACTGATAAAATGAAGAACACTAGATTGCAAGGACAGGTAATTAGGCACACTACTTAAGAACTGCAGGAATGCATCAGTCGAGTAGTTTCAAGGTTTTGAGGATAATGTTGAAAGGAAGTAGTTTTAATCTTAATATGAGGAAGAACTTTCTAACAATTGGGGCTTTCCAAAAATAGAATCACTTGCATCAGGAAGCAGCAGGATATCCTTTACTGGAGGTCTTCCAACAAAGGTCAGAGGATCACTTATCAGGTATGCTGTCTCAGGGATCTTTCAAAATCCAGGTTTTGAACTAGATGGCTTCTGAAGTCCCTTGGAAACCAAGATTCTGTGACTTTGGGTAACACCATTCAACCAGCTCCAAATCCATTCAGTTTTACTATCATGTGATGTATATCTTTCTGTCTTGTTCTGGGCATCATCTTTTTGGCATGGCATTGGCAGAATTAAGTACATTTATAGGGTGAGCATGTTGGGGAGAGGACTAGATATGATGCCAAATAAGGATCATTTGAATAAATTAGCGTTGTTTATCCAAGAGAAGAGGAGACATCTTGGAGATATGGTGCAGGTACTCATGATAAGTGCCTTCAAATATTTGAGTCCCATTATGTGGAATCAGTTGCTTAATACAAATTTATTTAGCACCTGTAAACCAATCCAGTATCTTTGCCAAGAAAACCCCAAATGGTCGCAAAGAGTTGGACATAACAGAAAAACAACTCAATAACAACAAAATTGGTCCAGACACTGTGCTAAGCATTGGGAATATAAATAATAGCAAATACAGCCCCTGTTCTCAAGGAATTCACATTTGGGATGCAGTGAAGGTGTCATATATGTAAAAAACAAAACCAAAAAAAATGTACAAACAAGCTATATACAAGACAAATTAGAGATAATGAAAAGAATGAAGGCATTAGCACTGAGGGGGAATCAGGAAAATCACGAAAGCCTTCTTGTAGAAGGTGGGAAGGAAATCAAGGAAACTAGGAAGAGGAGGTGAGGAAAGAGAAGATTCCAGGCATGAGAGGCAACTAATGAAAATGCCCAGAGTTAGAAGATGGTATGCCTTATGCGAAGAACAACAAGAAAGTCAGTGTTACTGGATCACAGAGTATGTTGAGGTGAGTGGGTTTAGAAGACTGGAAAGGTAAAACTGGGTCAGGTTATGAAAGGCTTTAAAAGCCAAATAGAAGATGTTACATTTGATGCTTGAGGCAATATGGCACCACTGGAATTTTTAAGTAGCAGTGATTTAAGCAAATCACTTTGATAGCTGCCTAAATGGGGAGAAGTTTGAGGCAGGGAGACCAATCCTCAGGCTATTACCATGGTCCAGTTGTAAGTGGATGAAGGTCTATGACAGGGTAGTAGCAGTTTAAGAAGAGACAAGGGGGTGTATTTGAGAAATGTTGCAAAGGTGATATCAACAGTCCTTGGTGAGTGATTGGAGACTAAAAGTAAGAGAATGTAAAGAGTTGAGGATGACCCTTAAGTTGTGAGTCTGTGTGATTAGGAGGATTGTGGCACCCTCAATAGTAATAAGGAAGTTAAGAGGAAGGAGGGTCTTTGGAAAGCAAAAAACATAATGAGTTCACTTTTGAACATGCTGACTTTGAGATATGCAAGGAACACTAGGTTTTAGATGCCCGATAGGTAGGCGGTAATGCAAAACTGCAGGTTAGGAGAGAGGTTAGGGCTGGAAAAGTAGATTTGAGAATAGTCACCATAGCCATAACAGTTGAATTCATGGGAGCTGATGAGATCACCGAGCAAAATAGTCAAGAGGAAAAAGGGAAGAGGGCCCAGGGCAGATGGATTAGACTTCTCTTTCTTGGTTCTGGGATCAATATCTAGAAATAATAGAGAAATCAATAGAACTTTGAAGTTCAGAAAGTCTTCCTAATAATTAAAGCTATCCCGAACTTGAAGTGCTGGCATCCAGATGCTGTGTGCTGCTCTTGACTGGAGCTCTTCAACGTAAACCTAGGTGAAAGACTGATGGTTCAGAGATGTTTTGGAGGGGATTTCTATTGAGATATATGGACTAGATGACATCTGAGATGCTTTTAAACTGTAGAATTCTGGGAATCTTGTTGGATTGTGAGCTCCTCAAAGGCAGGGGCTATCTTCTGCTTCTCTTTGCATCCTGAGTGCTTAGTTGTGTGCCTGGCACATAGTACATACGATAAATGCTTATTGCTGGACTAAATGACTGAAGTTTTGTTACCCAAAGAACTAGGGTGAATGCACACTTGTTGATGAGCCATCTATATTCATAGAATAGCATGTGTGACTGCTATTCAAACAGCCCAAAGATTCTTATGCCAGACCATCAGAAAAATGGCATTAGATTCCTAGGATTTCGGTACTGAGTATTTCTTGGCAAATATATTCATATTTATTCCATTTTTTCCTAAAGGGGAAAATCATGGTAAGAGTTTCTTTTTTAACTTTTTTTTAAAAAACTTTTTACATACAGGACCTACTTGGATATTTGAAGTAAAGGGGAAGAATTCAAGGAAGCTCCCTAGGGTTCCAGCCAACCCCAATTATTCCAGCCTGAATACATACATACATCCTCCCACCAGTGAATATGGCCATAGAGTTTTCATTAGGTGAGAATACTTGAAAATACTCTTTTGAGGGACAGTCAAGGTCCTCATAGACCTCAAAAGCAGGGGTAAGCCTGCATACTGCCCTAGTCACCTAAATAGAAGAATGATAACTCTAATCAAGCCACCAATCCCCCAATCAGTACCAGAACCAAATAGTAACATAAATTCCAAAATCAAGAAATAGGGTGGAAAAATGAGCAAACAGAAAGACAGATAGATGGATAGACAGATAGAATAAGCATAAAAAGCTACTATAGTGACAAGAAAGATCAACACACAAACCCAGAAGAAGACAATGAAGTCAAAATGGCTACAAGCAAAGCATCAAAGAAAAATATGAATTGGACAGAAACCCAACCAGAATTCTTGGAGCTAAAAATGATTTTAAAACTCAAATAAGAGTGGTAGGAGACAAATTAGGTAAAGAAAAAAGATGAAAATTATGAAAAGACAATAGTTTGGTAAAAGAGTTACAAACATATGAAAAAAATAATACTTTAAAAAACAGAATTGGCCAAAAAAAGAGGTAAAAAAATTCATTGATGAAAATAACTTTTTAAAAAGCAGAATTAGCTAAATGGGGGAAAGAGGTACCAAAGCTCACTGAAGAGAATGATTCCTTGAAAATTAAAATTGGGCAAGTATAAGTTAGTGACTCTGTAAGACATCAAGAAACAATAAAACAAAGTCAACAGAATGAAAGATTTGAACAAAATGTGAAATATCTCTTTTAGAAAATAATTACCTAGAAAATAGATTGAGGAGAAATAATTTAAGAATTATTAGACTACCTAAAAGCCATGATAAAAGAAAGAGTCTACACATTATATTCTAAGGAAAATGCACTTATCTTAGAACAAGAAAGTAAAATAGACATTAAAAGAATCTGCCAATCACCAGCTGAAAGAGATTTCAAACTCCCAGGAATATTACAGCCAAGTTGCAGATCTCCTGGGTCAAAGAGAAAATACCTCTGTCATGATAAAAAGAGATAAAGATAAATGGAGGAAAATAGGATGGAGGGAAATGGACAGTTAATGTGAATGTGAATGGGATGAACTCACCCATAAAACAGAAGTGGATAGTAGAATGTATTAGAAATCAAAATCCAACAATATGCTACTTACAAGAAATACACTTGAAACAGAGAGACACATAGAGTTAAAATAAGGGTCTATGCTTCAGTCGAAGTTTAAAAAAGGCAGGAGTAGAGGCGCAGCCAAGATGGAGGAGTGAAAGCAGTGACTTGCTTGAGCTCTCCCCCCAAACCCCTCCAAACACTCATAAAAAATGGCTCTAAACAAATTCTGAAGCAGCAGAACCCACAAAAAGACAGAGTGAAACAAATTTCCAGCCCAAGACAACCTAGATGGTTGATCAGAAAGGTGTATTGTGCTGGGCTGGGAGCGCAGCGCAGAGAGGTGTGGGTGCGCAGGCTGCAGCGAACCTGGAACAGGCCTTAGAGGACTGAATCTGGGGCAGCTGTGGAGGTTTGAGACTCCTCAATCCACCAATGCCAAAGACAAATTAGAAGGTCAGTGGGAAAAGTCTGTTTCTGTCAGTGACTGAGAAAGGAAGGAGGGGTTTCAGCTCCATTCCCCAAGAGTGTGGCCCTGTGGGGGGGCAGCTGCTTCCCAAGCTTCTGGACCACAGACTGAGGGGGAATCCAGTGGCTAATCAGAGAGGGATTGCAGGGATCTCTTTGCCAGTGCTGAGGCAGGAATCTCTTGCTTTGCCTGTGTTTGGATCTGGGCCACAGTTCTGGGCAGCGGTGCTGGGGTGACGAGGAGCTCTGGCGTTGTGGAGCTTGTAGTGGTTGTGGAGAGGAGTCCCTCCTCACAGTTACAGGACAGAAAGAAGTACTTGTAGTTGCAGGCCAGGAAAGGAGTAAACACCTTGCCCCTTATCATACCACCTTGG